AGCCCGGTGACTCACCAGTGACCTTGAGCAAAGTCAGTTCCATGGGATCCTATTACAGCTACCTACTTCCCTGATGACTAGAGGGCACAGCCAAGAAGTGTTTACTAAAATCAACAGACCAGAGCACAGTTGGAGGATAGGACATGTTCTGTGTCTACCCGGGGCATCGTGGACCACACCACTGGCTTGAATTTCAAGTTAGGGTCCTGCCTTGCTTGCTATTTTTGTCTCAGATAAAATCCTACATAATTAACCTTCGGGGGTTTTCTTTAGCAGTCCCCTCGTGGGAGCAGGTGTTTGTTGCCTTCCCTGTTGTACTGATGTCTCGGAAGGGAGAAGAGAAAGACAGAGATACTAACTCCGGAAGAGTCTCTGAGCTGGGCTCCAAGCCTGTCTAGGATAACTGCCTGTTCTTCCTGTGTGCTCTAAGACCCTCTGAGGAAAGCCCACCTGTTACATGGGCAGGCCCCTGGGGTATCTTGTTAACGTTACCCAGAGAGAAGTTGACATTTCGTTTTCTCACTAACCCTAAGGGTTTACTCACAGCTTTGGAGTGGAGAAAGGCAGTTACATTGAAACAAAACCTGTTGGAGTTTTAGGTCAAAAGCCCCTTCTCTCTATCACGTTGTCACACTAGTAGAGCAGGCCCTTAGTCTGGCTTTAGTAGGCTTTGGTCTCCACAGACTGACGTGTGGTCAAGGAAGTCTTGGTAGAAGAAGGAAAGGCATGCCGAGGTTAGTAACAGAACAGGTGGCTGCTCTTTCATGGGCACGGTATCAGCTGACCCAGCGTGCCCTGGTGGTGGGTGGGGCAGATGCTATTGTTTTCATTTGATCTATGAGAAAACAAAGGCCCGGCACACTCAAGGGACTTGCTCAAAGTAATGCAGTCTCTGCTAGAGCTAGGATTTGGCACCAGGTCCTGAGCCTTTCTGGTGTCCTGACCACTTCCAAGAGCAAGCTCTGACGGTTGTAGTGCTGCAGGAGCGTAGACATCATGCCTGATAGGTTTTGCCCAATAATTCCTCATATGAGGGCTTAATGGCCCAAACCTTTCTTTGTTTGTTTGAGAGATTTCATGCTTCAAGCTGTTCCTCTAGTAAGCTTAACAGCTGGCTCCGGGGATGGCTCCGACAGCATTCCTGTTAGCTGCTGACCCCCTCATTCATGCACAACTCTTTAGGATTTGATTGATTATCTCCAGGGAAAAATACATTCTGAGCAGCACAGTACAGGGGAGCCTGACCATAGTTTGGAAGCTAGCGCTGCAGCATGTGGCAGGGAGGAAGCCATTTCACCTCCTGGAGCCCCCAGCTCCTCATCTGAGCTGTGTGGTAAATCCCGCAAGGGGACAGTGATGCTTAACGAGGATCCCATTTGACCTATCTGTGTACACAGGCAGTCCCGGGAGGGGTATACAAGGTCCCTCCAACAATGTTGGGGAGGAGCTGGTGGGCATCTGTAAGGAGAGGGACGTCCTCTCGGAAGCTTTGTCTCCTTATTACTAAAATTCATGTATAATGAAACAAGACAGTAGGAGTATATGTCATGGATGTCCATTTTTAAGGATAATAAAATAAACATCCTTGTGTTCATCATCCAGCCAAAGAAACAACACAGTCTTCTTGAAGCTCCCTTGTATTACTTTTCTCATTCCAAGTGCCTGGCCTCATTAGTAATGTGAGTGGAATCTGACATGGCCTGCTGCAGAGCAGCATGTGACCTCTGGCAGGTTATTCTTGGAAGCACTGTAAGAACACTGCCCCATCCCTGCCACATGCCATGTGGACCCCAAGAAGAACTCTCTCAGCTTTTAATAATATTTAAAATAAAGTCAGGAAATAGCCCCTGTCTCCTGGAGCTTTTCTTCCAGTGAGGCCCCATGCACTACAGCTCTGCAGAGGTTAGATGAAGGCTGGTTCCAGTTGCTGGCGGGCCTCATACACAGGCAGGGTTTCTGGAAGAAGTAGGCAGTTACCCAGGCTGGTTGCTTGGGCCCAAAACATGATCAGCAGACAAGAGATCATGAAAGGTAGCTCTGAGGGCTGCTTGGTGGGTGACCCAAAGCCAGACAGAGGCATATGAGCCTTGTCTGGGCCCAGCCAGTTTCTGCCAGGCAAACTCTGAGCCTGAGGCAGGGTATGTATGCTCAATCCCAAAGGCGCAGGGCTTCCCTCTACCCAGAACCTGTGATGCCGGTGTCTGATGGGCTGAGTCAGCTTTGCTGGGTTTGGGTCCCCTCTCCAGGTTCTTAAACTTTCCCTCATCAGTCCACCTTCCTCTGAGGTCTGGAACCAGTGTTTCTTGAAGTGTGGGGCTTGGATCACCTGCACGGAGATTACCTGGGCTTCTTGTTAAAATCCAGATTCCTAGGCCCTTGTCCAGGCCCTCGGACTCTCTGAGGACCTGGGGACATGCTTTCAGCCAGTACCACAGTGGTTTGGGTATGCCTTAGAGGTTTATGATCACACCCCACACCCTCTCAACCTGAGGTCAAGTTCAGGAAAGGACCTTATATAGCTTGAGTCTTGCCAGCCCTTTCCAAATTTTCCTAAATCACTTGACCCATGGCCCAAATAAAAGAATTTGCCAGTGGCTATAACAGAGAAGGGAGAGGAAGTTAAAGCCCCATTTTCTACTTTTTTTTATTTTTAAGATAGACTCTTGCTCTATTGCCCAGGCTGGAGTTCAGTGGCGTAATGATCTTGGCTCACTGCAATCTCCGCCCACCAGGTTCAAGCAATTCTTCTGTCTCAGCCTCCCAGGTAGCTGGGACTACAGGTGCATGCCACCACGCCTAGCTAATTTTTAAAATTTTTAGTAGAGATGGGGTTTCACCATATTGAGTCAGGCTGGTCTCAAACTCCTGAACTTAGGTAATCCACCCTCCTTGGCCTCCCAAAGTGCTGGGATTACAGGCATGAGCCACCCTGCCCAGCCGCATTTCCTACTTTTTATTAAAGCTAAAAATACTAATCATAGCCTGGTTTCTTTTTGGTTCAGCCTTTATTCTACCCTATGCTTCTGGGAGCTGTGGCAGTTTGCATAGTTATCAAAGGAAACAGACAGTGTTGTGTAGTTGAAATGTTTTTTAAAAAGAATAGTTAAGGCCGGGCGCGGTGGCTCAAGCCTGTAATCCCAGGACTTTGGGAGGCCGAGGCGGGTGGATTACGAGGTCAAGAGATCGAGACCATCCTGGTCAACATGGTGAAACCCCGTCTCTACTAAAAATACAAAAAAAAAAAAAATTAGCTGGGCATGGTGGCACATGCCTGTAATCCCAGCTACTCAGGAGGTGGAGGCAGAAGAATTGCCTGAACCCAGGAGGCGGAGGTTGCGGTGAGCCAAGATCGCGCCATTGCACTCCAGCCTGGGTAACAAGAGCGAAACTCTGTCTCAAAAAAAAAAAAAAAAAAAAAAAAAGAATAGTTAAAGTACTGGAGAAGGGAAATACAAGTTGCTCTGTGTGTCTGGTGCGTGATTGTCGTCATGGGCTCTCCCTGCACCATAACGCCCAGGGACTCCTTGAGTACTGTGTCTTTCCTTTCAGTCTCTTCCTTTTCCTTCATTTATGCCCTTGACATGTGCACATTGGCAATGTCCAAGCCTTCTGGGGCTTTTGTGGCATAAATGTGGTTGTTTCCTAGCTTTTCCGATTGCTGGCTTGTTCCCCAGCTCTGCTGAGTCTTTTCTAGGTAGTGCTATGCCCTTTACTTTCCAGTTTTCAGAACCTTGTTTTATACCTCCGTTTCTTTTTGTATGGGTTTATGCCTTTAAAAAAAATTCTTTTCTTCTTGTAGGGTTTGGGGAGGGAGCAAAACTCATTGTGACAGTATAGTCTACTCCCTTTTCTAATCTATGTAATACTTTCTTGTAGCTACACATTTCTCTAAACTGCTGCAACTTCTTTCTTCCTCTTTATTTCGCTTTTTTTTGTGTGTGGTAAAATATACAAAATATAAAACTTAGCATTTTAACCTTTTGTTTTTTTTTAAGAGACAGGGTCTCACTCTGTCATCCAGGCTGGAGTACAGTGGTGTGATTATAGCTTACTGTAACCCCGAACTCCTGGGCTCAAGCAATCCTCTTGCCTCAGCCTCCAAAGGACCTAAGACTATAGGCATGCGCAACCATGCCCAGCAATTTTTTTTTTTTTTTTTTTTTTTTTTTTTTTTTTCAGAGAGATGGGGTCTCACTGTCTTGCCCAGGCTGATCTCAAACTCTTGGCCTTGAGCAAGCCTCCCATCTTAGCCACCCGAAGTAGTAACTATTTTAAGTGTTCAATTCAGTGATGTTAAGCACATTGATATTGTTGTGCAAGCATCACGACTGTTTCCAAAGCTTTTTCATCATTTCAAACTGTACCTCTGTACACATTAAATAACTTATGTTCTCCCCCCTCCCTACCCCCTGGCAACCACTATTATATTTTCTGTCTATAAATTTGACTATTCTTTTGACTATCTTGTATGAGTGGAATTATAAAACATTTTGTTGACTTCGCTTAGCATAGGTCTTCAAGTTCAGCGTCTTTTTGGAACAAAAAGGGAATGAATGAGTGAGTAAATGGACAATCAACATAATTGACCTGTGGTCTTAGCCTCTCTGGCTGTCTCAACTCAGAAGTCAGGCTTGTCCTGCCTGCTTAGGCTTTTCCTTTAGCAGAATGCATTAACATGTGAGGTTAATTGTCATTGTCTTTAAAAATGGTTAGAAGGGCATGACAGATACAGTGAAGTGGAATCCCGCACTTAGGCTTATCTTCTTGGAAAGAGGAAGACTTGAGGTATAGGAGAGCAGTGGCCCAGGGCTTCTGTCTGCTAATGTGGAATTTGTTCCAGCTCCCCTGTAGACCATCTAGGAGCAAGAGCTAGGAGAGTGTCCTCCAGAACTGCCCTGGCTCCCCAGGACTGTGGTGGAGGGGATCAAGCCCCTTCTAGGTCGAGATTTCCTGCACCAGGTTTTACATGGGTCCCTGAAGGTTTGGTTCTCCCCCTACAGATTTCTGCATGAATCCCCAGACAGTGCTGCTCCTTCGGGTCATTGCTGCCTTCTGCTTCCTGGGCATCCTGTGTAGTCTCTCCGCTTTCCTTCTGGATGTCTTTGGTCCCAAGCATCCCGCCCTGAAGATCACCCGTCGCTATGCCTTCGCCCATATCCTCACTGGTAAGCCCAGGTCCCCCTCACAGTCGGGGAGGAACTGCCACAGGGCGGGGGCATCCTGTCTGGAGTTGCTGGTGGGGGCTCTGGTTTCTGTGAGCAGACACCCTTCCAGGAGCTCATGTGCGAAGCTCCAGCCTTTCCCAGAGTGTCAGGGTGTCAGCAGCCTGCTCCAGTCTAGCTGCTAACTTGTCAGGATCACAAACCACTCAGCCCAGCTATAGAGAGGAAATGTTGCTAGAAATTCTGCAAGGAAGCTCACAGCTCTCTAAAATGGCATTTGAAGCCCGACTGAGCTCAGACCCGGCATGAGTGAAGAAGAAACCAGGCTGTCTTCCCTGTCCTCCTCTGGAGCTCCTGGTCAGATTCTCTCCTCTCCACCTTCCTGCTTCCCTACAGACCAGCCTTTTCTTGTATGTGGCTGCTGTCCTCCCTCATGCCTGCTTTGCTGTGTTGGTTTGAACTGTGGTATGCCCACTCCAGCTCCCAAGCTGCATAACCCTATTTGTTCCTTAAGACAGTGGGAATCTGGCCTACATCAGGTCAGACTGCTGTCCCCAGCCTCAGGTCAGGAATCCCATGGCCAAGAGAGCTCCTCCTTGCTGGGTGTGGGGCCAGGCAGGTTCTTTGAGAATGGGGATTGGGTAGTGAGGCTGCGATTGGGTCCTCAAGCATCTTGGTTGTAGACTGCCTGCTAATCCCTCTTCTGTGCTGTCCCTCTGTCCCCTAGTCCTGCAGTGTGCCACTGTCATTGGCTTTTCTTATTGGGCTTCTGAACTCATCCTGGCCCAGCAGCAGCAGCATAAGAAGTACCATGGATCCCAGGTCTATGTCACCTTCGCTGTTAGCTTCTACCTGGTGGCAGGAGCTGGTGGAGCCTCAATCCTGGCCACGGCAGCCAACCTCCTTCGCCACTACCCCACAGAGGAAGAGGAGCAGGCTCTGGAGCTGCTCTCTGAGATGGAGGAGAACGAGCCCTACCCAGCGGAATATGAGGTCATCAACCAGTTCCAGCCACCTCCTGCCTACACACCCTAATGCCAGCCTTGGGCTCTCTTCCTCGGCAGCCCTTCCCCCAACTCTGCAACTCCTCTTGCACCCAGAGGAGCTCCTTTCTCCAGCAGGCCTCACTGGTAGGATCCTGACCATGTTCTCCAAACCTTCCCCAGGAGAGACTCTGCCTTTAGGGTTATTCGAGTATCCCTGCTCTCAGAACTGGGGGTCCACTGGTTTTCTATAATGCACTGTTTCCCTCCTGCTGCATCCCGCTCCCTTCATGTTCACGAGTCATTAGCAGCCAGGGAAGATCAATCCAAGTTTCCCCCAGGATGGGCCATATCTTTGGGACTGAGACTTTCCTTGGAGATCTGCTGAGAGTGGACAGTCCCAGGAAGAAGTGTCAGAGGGCCCAAGGGAAAAGGGACTGGCTCTGGGCTCATGCCCCCAGCCCTCTTCCTTCTCAGAGTGACCCACCCCCAGGCCACCTGCTCCGGGGAGTTCTGTGCACTTTACTCTTTGGACTTCTCACGTGTGCCCTGGTTTTATGGGGAGAGGGAATTGCTGTTGGGAAGGCAGAACAGCTGCTGCCCTCCCTGGCCTTGCTTTGTGTGACTGGAGCCCAGACAAGGAGAGCAGGAGCCAGCATGAGACTGAGGCCTCCTGGTGCCTACCAAGGATGAAAGTAAAGAGGACTACATCTCCCAGCCCTTTCACCTTTTAAATGTGAGTTGTTTTAAAAGGAAAAAAACAAAACCAGGCAACGGCAACAATATTCTGTTTTTAAAATAGGGACAAGACTGTTGTCACTTTTTAGAAATGTATCTCATTCCTTTTGGCTCTGCAATATTTGGCCCGTAGCTTCTTCCAAGCCCATGGTAGTCCCTCCCTGAGTCTCTCTCAGCAGAATGCAGCCTCCCTTCCCTGGCCCCTTCCCTCCCAGCGACTATGGCTCCCTGGGGCTTTCTTGTGGAACCCAGAGGGGCTGAGGACTGTGGCCTGGCTGGCGGGCCAGCGTGGTGCTCTTCAGGACTGCGGCACTGAGATGGAACCTGGCCTCAGTTCAGGAACAGAGGCCACAACGGGGCAGGAACCCACCACCTTCCACATAGGAATACAACCAGTGGGGCCCCATAACGTGAGGCATCAGACTCACCCTGTCAGCCCAGCAGGCCGGGCTGTGTCCTTCAGACTCAGTGCTGCCCTAGACTCTGACTTGGGGCTCCAACCTGCCGCATGCCCCTCTCCCCCTCTTAAATGTACTCTGGCCTTGCAGTGTGCTGCTGGCACTTTCTCTCTCAGCCATTACTCTGGCCACCCTGTTTGCTCTGGCTCTGGCTGAATTTTCTGCTCTGAGCTCTAGGTATAAAGTGGATGAAACTTGAAAGACCTTCAGTGTAGATCCAGATGGCCAACCTGTCCTTGTTACGTTACTTGCTTCTTGGGAATGAACGTCCATTGCTGAGCTGAAAAGGAAATGGATTCCAATTTCCTCCAACCTTTAAGGTGATAGGCAGTTCAAGAAAGACTGGAGAATGGACAACACTATGAAGCTGTGGCTAGAAAGGGACTGTCATGTCCCATCCTTTGGCCAGATTGACTGGGGATGTCTGGACAGATGCCTGCATGGGTGGTGAGGGCCACATCTGCACATGAGCGGGTGGCTGCTTGCAGCTCACTGCTGTGATGCCAGAGTGTCTTCAAAGGTGACTCTCCTGCTTTTCTGGACTCTTCTCTCAGGCAAGAAAGGCTGCTGGCTGCCTGCTGTGTGATGCCTGACCATAAAGCCAAGGAACTGAACTACGTCTTTCTGTAAAATCCTGAGTTTGTCGTTGGCAGGTTTACATGTGGCCAGCTATCTCTGCCCATGGGTGTTTGAACAGGCAGACCAGAAGACCAGGCACCAGACATGCATGCCAAAGGGACCGGTCATCTCCTGAGGACCTGTACATGACCCTGTGGATCATTCCATGCAATCCGGAACCCACTTTTTATTCACTTCCCATGTCTCTGGCCTTCCCCTTCTTTCTCTTTTCCTCTGTCATCCTGACACTGATAGTTTGTCATATAAATTCCCCTGGTTGTATTTTTTTTTTTCTAGGAAAAAAATTAAAAATGAAAGCAAACAAAACCCAGAAACAACAAATAAGAATGGAAATGCCAATGGCTGCCTTTCATTTCCTGTCATTTTTCTGTCATAATTTTCCTGATGTGGTTTGTTCACTTTGTCTCAGAGAAGAAGGAGACATTTATGAGGTTCTAATTTTTTTTCTTTTTTTTTTCTTTTGAGACGGAGTCTCACTCTGTCATCCAAGCTGGAGTGCAGTTGCTTGATCTCAGCTCACTTGCAACCTCTACCTCCTGGGTTCAAATGATGCTCCTGCCTCAGCCTCCTGAGTAGCTGGGATTACAGGTGTGCACCACCATTCCTGGCAAATTTTTTTGGTATTTTTAGTAGAGACAGGGTTTCACCATGTTGGTCAGGCTGGTCTTGAACTCGACCTCAGGTGATTCACCCACCTCGGCCTCCCAAAGTGCTGAGATTACAAACGTGAGCCACTATGCCCAGCTAAGGCCCTAATATAAAATAGTTAGAAGGGACTTGATGTGGGCCACTTCCGTGCATGGCATTTTCACCCCCAGAGCTTCCTAATCCTGATTATTTTCACAGAGGAAGTTTCTAGGTCTTTCTGGAACAGCTAGAAAAAGCTGACTCCTGACCAAGGTCCAGCCTTCAAACCCTGAGCTCTTCACACTGCTTCCTCTGGTGGGCTACAGAAGAGAAAGTGGCTCGAACTCTAGCTATCCTGTGGGAGAAAACAGACTTCTAAGTAGACTTCTTTGGGCTCTAGCTTGCACTACAAACTGCACTTTTTTCGCCCTCTAGTTTTTTTTTTTTTTTTTTTTTTTTTTGAGACAGAATTTCATTCTTGTTGCCCCGGCTGGAGTGCAATGGCATGATCTCGGCTCACTGCAACCTCCACCTCACAGGTTCAAGCAATTCTCCTGCCTCAGCCTTGTGAGTACCTGGGATTACAGGCATATGCCACCATACCCGGCTAATTTTTTGTATTTTTAGTAGAGACAGGGTTTCTCCATGTTGATCAGGCTGGTGTCGAACTCCTGACCTTAGGTAATCCACCTGCCTCTGCCTCCCAAAGTGCTGGGATTTCAGGCCTGAACCACCGCACCCAGCCTTTCCTATTTTTAAATTTTATTTAATAATATGTGTGTTTTCCTCTCTTTTTATTTTGTATATTTCACGTATTCCATCACTCCCTAGAAACTGCACCTTCTTTGAAGTCATAGGCAATGAATCTTACTAGGAGAGGCATGGGGGTAGAGATAGTCTGGGAATGTGACCTGTAAGCCTCCTGTAGGGCAGTCCCAGGCCTTGATTGCCCCCATTCCCTCATTCCCTTCCTTCCTTCCCTCCCTTTCTTTCTTCTTTCCTTCCCTCCTTCCCTCCCTCCCTTTCTTCCTTCTTTCCTTCCTACCTTCCTACCTTCCACCTACATGGTAAAAGAGCTGAGAGCTCCTTTCAGGGAGCGGCCCATTAGGTATCTTTTGTTATTGCTAGGGAGAATACACATCTTTCTTGGAAGCTGGGAGTGTGTTTGCTCTCATTTCATGTCCATTCAGACAAAGCGCTGTCAGGCACCATGAGAAATACAGTGACTGATGGGACCCTGTCTCCAAGGATTTTATGTCCTTAGTTCAGGAGATAGACTTGTCCACAGAAAGACAGTGAAGTGGGCGGCTGGCTGGGAGAAGTGTTGTGCCCAGAAGGGAGCCGGTTCTGAGCTGAGTGATAATGAAAGGCTTCCTAGAGGACACAGCTTGAGCCACACTTGATGTGGGAGTGAATTGAGGTAGGGACACTCCTGCTGAGAGAATGGCAAGAGGAAAAGCACACTGTGGCCAGGACATGGTGAGAGCAGAGGTTAGATAGGTGAGAGGCGCTCGTCTAAGGCACTAACAGAAGGGGGAGCCCTGGAAATATTTTGAGAAGGGAAGGGTGGGATGCAGCTTTATTTTAATAACATTACAATGGGAAGGGGTCTGTCTGGCGTTAAGTGAGGGTGTCACAAGTGGGAGACAGGACCTGGCAAAGGGGAAGAGGGTAGTCACAGTCAGTCTCAGGGCCCAGTGTCTCAGCCACGTGCTGGAGTCAGGAATGCAATGCGGGAGCCCCAGTCCCTGCCCACCCATCACATGGCAGCTGGAAGGTAGCACCAGCTGTGCAGGCAGAGAGGGGCCCACATACTGGAAGCCATGAGATGTGAAGGGCCACAAGGAGAGGACCCTGGGGCACAGGAAGAGGTGGTGCATCTGCGGGAGGGCATCTTTCCCAAGATGATTAGAGGATCTTAGCTGGCATCCTGCCCATGGTGTCCATTGCTGTCAGCCACTACACTAATGGAATACAGGTGCTGTGGGGAGACACAAGGGAACTGACAAACTTCATGGCCTTGTTTTCAAATAGCCTACAATCTTCCCTCTTCCCCTGCATTTTTGTGGGGAAAGGCATTTTAAATGGGAGTTGGAAGGTGCATGGGGAAGAGAAAATGTCTTTTTTTATGGTGTAGAGACAGGGCCTGACCATGTTTCCCAGGCCGGTCTCAAACTACTGGCTTCAAGCAATCCTCCTGCCTCAGCTTTCCAAAATGATGGGATTACAGACCTGAGCCACCTGAGCACCTAGCCTGAAAATGTCATTTTGAATGAGTCCACCTGAAATGAAGACACTTTAGTAGGGTCCCTGGTTTAAGAATTAAGATAGCAGCCAGGCGCACTGGCTCATGCCTGTAATCGAAGCACTTTTGGGAGGCTGAGGCAGGCGGATCACTTGAGGTCAGGCATTCAAGACCAGCCTGGTCAACATGGCAAAACCTCATCTCTACTAAAACTACAAAAATTAGCCAGGTGCAGTGGTGGATGCCTGTAATCCCAGCTACTTGGGAGGCTGAGGCAGGAGAATCACTTGAACCCAGGAGGTAGAGGTTGCAGTGAGCTGAGATTGCCCTCCAGCCTGGGCAACAGAGCAAGACTCCATCTAAAAAAAAAAAAAAAAAAAGAATTAAGATACCAGTTCCTCACTATAAGCTTTGCAGAAAATTCTTGGCTTTGTTGCTGAGGGAGAGGGCAGCGTCCAGGGATATTGGCTGGTCTCAGAGCTGGAGGGTTTATGCGGGACCAGCCACCACCTTCAGCTGATTTGGGACAGCAACGCAGTGGGTGGCAAGGGGTTTCATAAGATGTTCAAGCTGAGAGAGAGCCCCCTCAGTCCGACCCTGTGTCTAAGGAGTCAGGTAACAAAGAACTTTCTAGAAACAGCTGTGAGTCCCTCTGGCTTAATAGGTTGTACGGGTATCTGAGAATGGAGCCTGAAGGGTGCAGGGCCTGCAGGCTGCCCTGTTTGGAAGGTTCCTGTCCTGTCTGGATGGAAAATGGCAGCTAGCCCTGTAAAGGGCCTACCTATGTGGCAAGATAAACTATGTAGCCCAGATGCCTCCGTGGCTTCACTTCCTTCTTGGGGGTCTCTCAGTATATGTCTAGTGCCATCACTCTTGGTGGAGAGTTTCCTTCTAGAATTTCAAGAATAACCTTGGGGTGGTGGATGAGTTTTATTTCAATAAAGGAAGAATGCCCCTTATTCATTTGTATTTACTTATTTTTTGAGATGGAGTATTGTTCTGTTGCCGAGGCTGGAGTTCAGTGTTGTGATCTTGGCTCCCTTGCAAACTCCACCTCCCCGATTCAAGCAAATCTCCAGCCTCAGTCTCCCAAGTAGCTGGGATTACAGGCATGCGCCACCATGCCTGGCTAATTTTTGTATTTTTAGTAGACATGGGGTTTCGCTATGTTGGCCAGGCTGGTCTCAAACTCCTGACCTCAGGTGATCCACCTGCCTTGGCCTCCCAAAGTGCTGGGATTACAGGCATGAGCCACTGCACTCCACCCCCTTGTTCATTCTTTCTACCTGTTTGCCTCCTATTCTAACCAGGGTGTGAGAAATTTGCTTGTGTGTACACACATGCAATTTCTTTTTTCTTTTTCTTTCTTTTTTTTTTGTGACAGCGTCTTGCTGTGTCACCAGGCACCACGCTGGAGCACAGTGGTGAGATCTCGGCTCACTGCAACCTCTGCCTCCCAGGTTCAAGCAATCCTCCTGCCTCAGCCTCCCCAGTAGCTAGGACTGCAGGTGCACACCACCACACCCAGCTAATTTTTGTATTTTAGTAGAGACGGGGTTTCACTATGTTGGCCAGGATGGTCTCAATCTCTTGACCTCGAGATCCACCCCCGTCAGTCTCCCAAAGTGCTAGGATTACAGGTGTGAGCCACCGTGCCCAGCCCTTTTTTCTTTTTTTTCTTTTTTTTTTTTTTTTGAGGCAGGATTTTGCTCTGTCACCCAGGCTGGAGTCTAGTGGTGTGATCATGACTCACTGCAGCCTCAACCTCCCAGGCTCGAGCGATCCTCCCACCTCAGCCTCCCGAGTGGCTGAGACTATAGGTGTGGGCCACTACCCCCAGCTAATTTATTTTTTGTAGAGACAGAATCTTGCCATGTTGCCCAGGCTGGTATATACCCAATTTCTATTATGTATACAGACCTGTGTCTTTCTTGTTGTTTACCTTATCAGTCCATTAGGCCAGGAGTCATGCTTTTTTTTTTTTTTTTTTGAGACAGAGTCTTGCTTTGTCACCCAGGCTGGAGTGCAGTGGCACGATCTTGGCTCACTGCAACCTCCGCCTCTGGGTTCAAGCAATTCTCCCTGCCTCAGCTTCCTGAGTAGCTGGGATTATAGGCACTCACCACCACACCTGACTAATTTTTGTATTTTTTAGTAGAGATGGGGATTTCACCATGTTGGCCAGGCTGGTCTTGATCTTCTGACCTCAGGTGATCCGCCTGCCTTGGCCTCCCAAAGAGCTGGGATCACAGGTGTGAGCCACCTCACCCAGCTGGTTCATCCTTTTTTATGTAACATTCATTCAGCATATATACTGAACACAAGTGCTTTGTGGAGGATGCAGAGATACTAACACGTGTGATCCTTGCCCTCTAGGGCCTTCCAATTCAGCCAGCAGGAAAGAGGAAACTTGGTAACACCCAAACCTGACAGCCAAGGAACACTTCCTAAAGGAGAGACTTA